AAACTTGATTAATACTCATAAAAACACCACCAAAAAAAAAAAAAAAAAAAACGAAAACCATTAACGCTTTAATATTCCGTCTTGTCAGCATGATGTTTAATCAACTTTCATTTTATTTAAATATTCTTGCGTGCTTGCACTGTGTGGCTATGGTGGGCATATATGACAGAACCAGAGCAATAATAATACCGAAATAAATGCTCAAAAAAACAATTAAGCATACAATTAATTGCCCCCTCAAAAAAACAGTAAATAAATAAATTTAGGTAGAAATTTAATTATACAGTGAGATGTAAATGTATTCATATCTTAATTAGCTTCTTAATTCACCTTTGTAATAATTACCTTATTTATTTATGCGCATGTTATAATATTTTTGTCTGTTTTATTCTTCCCTTGTATTTTTTTATCCTCTTTATTTCAACTTCTGCCCATACAGACAAAAATATTATAACGTACATAAATACATTTATTTAAAAAATAAGTAATTAATAAAGTTGAAGATTATAATGGACAATAAATAAATAAGGTAATTGTTATAAAAGCCGAATAAAGAAGCTAATTAAAAGAGATATATACATTTAAGTCTCAGTGTATAATTTAATTTCTCATGAGGAGATATATGCACTTAAACACATGGAGGAATATCCTACATAATGCTGTGAAGTCAAAGAGAAAAAGGCACAAGAACAACAGATGGCTTTTTACTTTCTAATCTAAAAACTGTTTCTTGCACTTGTTTTTAAGGCTCTTTACTTTTATATTTCCTGTACTAAATCCACTGCAAACACTTTCCTTCAAGTTAATTTAATCACAGTTCATTAGAGGTAATACAAGCCATCAGGTCTAAAAAATTCACACAATACGAAATAGATTCTACAATTATTGTGTCTATGTACAAAAAAGAAAAGAAAATACAGGGAGAATAAAACTATCTATTTAATGGGTAGAGGGAGGCCTCCTCTCCATAATGTCTCCCCCAAAATTCCTGAGCATTTCCCATGGGCGCCACAAGAGGGCGCTCACGTACAACAGATAGATACAAAGCTGCATTTATTCCCAACTACAGGTATTTTTCACAGCAATTTCATTTACTATCACATTCTCATGGTGTGATAACATTGACTTTAAAAAAGTATGATATACAAGAGAAAACATAATTAATTTCATGATCTAAATCCTTATGTTTGAAAAGAAAATCAACTAATATCTGTACTGTCATCAACGTAGCTCATAACATATTCTTACAGTTAGCTATAATAATCTGTTTACTCTACAGTTGTTACTTTTATTCCATTACACAACAAATAGCTGCATTAAAACTTTAAATACTCATTTTGTAGATGATTTTATGTTTATGCTGATATTAGCTGGTAGATTATGACATCTGTAAAGGTAGTAAGCTCACAGCTTCGAATTTAACATTTTAGTTTTATCTAAAATTGATGGATGGTTTCCAATATGACTATCCATGATTTTTTTTGTCAGAGGAAAAGCTAAATTTTTCTTTTCTATAAGTGTAGGGAATGGGTAACTATTTGTGCAAACTAAGTAGCAGAACTCCCCAATAGGTTGGGGAGGGGCAGATCCTAACTACCTGTTGATCCTTAAATGCAATGAAAACACTGAGAAAATAGTGTTTTTCTTTGTTTTGTTTGTTTTGTTTTAACTAAAATAATGATGTAACTGAATTATTTTTTTTACTTCTGGGATCACTTTTGTATATTTTCTCTGCTTAGACACAAACAGTTGCTATTATGAAAGCACAGAAAAAAGTCACTTTGCACGTCAGGTTTTACGTTTTTCTCTGTTTTTTTGCATCAGCTGTAAGTTTTATTGTCCTCATCGTCCTGATAAGCTCTATTCTGACACCCGTCGTCTTTGTGTCTGTCCTCGCAGCTCTGATGGACATCAGAGGGACGGCTCACGTCTCCTGTAGCTCCATAATGGCTCCCATCGACTTTAGGGGAAAAGTGGATGTTCTCCGTCTGGTTCTCCTGTGAGATCATAAGGAGGAGATATATGCACTGAAAAATATGCAGGAATCTCCTATATGATGCTATAAAACAACTGGAAGCGCTTAGAAGTTGCATCACCTTGCAAAAGTTTCCAAACCTCTTTAACTTCTTTAAATTTATGTTAGTTTATGATTGAAACTTCAACAGATTGGAAGGGATTTTATGTGGATGTTGGTTTCTTTTTAAGTCTGAATTGGGTGTTATTCTTAAATATCCAGCCCCTTTACTTATATTACTTAATGTATGTTAGAGATTAATTTCATAAAGACCATGAAACACAGCAGACAGGTTAGTTTTTTGTTTTTTTAAGATGAAATTGTCCAGAGAGCTGTTGCAAAGGAAATTTCCTTTTTTTTACACACTGTGTAAACTAATGACAAATAAAATCTGTCTAAGTCTAAGACAGGTCAGGAAGGAAGTACCGGTATTTAGGTTATAAAACAAGGTCACATATCTAAAATGAAAAGAGTAAGACACAACTACTAACCATTCCTGAACTGACAAGTAAGAAGAGCAAAAAAATAAAAACTTTTTTAAAAAGTCTCCCTTTAGGGAAAGATGACCAACAGAAAGCGACTATTAAAAGACTGTTTTAAGAAGTCCTGTTTAAAGTCGCCCTCAGTAAACATGTGGAAGTACGTAATCTGGTCAGAAGAGATTCAGGTTGAGTTTTTTGGCTTCCGTTTAAAATATCAAGCAGAGAACTGGAGCAAGACATCAACAAGAACACCATCCCCCATAGAGAAACATGGTAGTGGCAGCATCATAATGTGGGGATGCTTTCAGAGACCCTGATGGTCTTGCAGCCATTATTACTGTAGAAGAATATCTTAATATTCTACTTTGGGTTGGTCTTGTCTTCCGTTTTACTAAGGTAACAACAGCTGTCGCATTATGCTTGGATTTGATCTAAAATGACCCTGAACTGCAGGTTACCTTGTGTTCACGGTGATACTGATCTATTGCGTATTGATATTTGGCTGCATTCAGTCCAAGAGCACCGGCCAGTCTCTCTCCAAGGAAATCACAAGCTGGTTTAAGAAAACAAGACAAAGGCAGAACCATTAGTCCTTCTTTCATTGGGCGGCTGATTCCTGTCGTTACAACATACCCAGCAGCGACATCCTCCCAACTAGAATGGCCACATTCTTGAAGGATATCCTGGTCTAAGGGAAGACGGACATGCATGCATCATTATCTGTTGTCCAAACGGGGATTTTCTCCTACAAATTGATTCCCACCTTCCCTCCTGGATCTCCGCAGACGGTTCTTTTTGACTGCCGCTTCTCTGCCTCATCTTCTCCAGGTTCTTCCAGCTCCAGAGTTTCTCCACTGGAGAAGTAGATGATCCTCTTCTGCTCCTGCAAAGGTGGACCCCCGAAATCTGTCTCTTGGACTTCTGCAAGAACCTGGTGGATTGTTAAAAGCTTTGCATGAACTTTCATTTCAAAGGGAAACTCCAAGAGCTCCGTCTGTCCCACTTACTGATGACATGACTTACTTCCTGGTGGCCGCTGGTGTTCATTCTTTCATCAGTTGAAGCTTCTCTTTATGTGGAACCTTGATAGAGAATTACATTCCATCAACACCAAGTATCTGTGAAGGAAACGCAACCTGAGGACACAGGCTGAGTCCTGAAACCTGAGAGGACAAACACGGCAGTGCAAACCTTATTTCATGAGGAGGGCAGTCACTTTACCGCCGTCAGTTTCCTTCATGTCCTGCTGAGGCTGGGATTGGCTGCTGAGGAATGTCAGGATCTGTCTGTCACTCCTACTTTCCAAAACTCACAGAGACCTGAGAGAATGTTTAATCTACAGCCACTACAATAAGCCACACCCATCTGTTATCACTGGGACCATAAAGAGATCCACAGTGGCTCACATTCAAACAGGTTTTAGTCTGATGCTTTTATCAACTTTTATTTTCCTTATTTTAACTAAAGAGCTCCTTCAGGGACAAATATTTAATTTCCCTTTGGGGTTAATAAGGTACTTTTTAATTGAAGTGAATAGCTGCAGCATATATGCACAAAGAGGCGCCTCCACAGATCCTTCCTCCCAGATTCTATTAGACTTCATTATCAAAACCTCTCCTCACAAACTCATTAAGTGTAAACATCCTGACTGTTATTTGCAGTTTTTTTATTTCTTGTAAACTACCTGTTGCCTTTTTTTACACAAAAACCCACCTGTACATATTTAAAATCACCCTGATCAGTTATCTATTTATTAAAATCTGATTGTTCTGATCTTTAAAGCTGTTCAGGTTTTTTTCTGTTGTAAATTTTTTCAATTCATGTACAAACTCTAAATTTAGATTAACTGCTTTTGTGTTTTAATCTTTGTGTCCATCTAAATGCTATGAGTTTAATTTCCCCACTGAGTGACCAAAAGTAATATCTATAAACTTTTCTATTATTCTTCTGGCAGCTTTGTTTATTATTCAGTAGAACTGTACAGGATAGATGTCACATTTAGATATAAAATCAGTTCTCAAATCATTTATTATTGTCGATACCATCGCATTGATGTTCTTGCATTCTATCAGGTCTGTTTCCTATAAGTCTTAAAATGAAAATAGATTTTAAAAATATTTTTTCTAACCTGAAATAAAAAAAAAATGTTTTTAATCCAGAAAAGTTTGTTTAAAAAAACGTTCTGATAAAAAAGGGGTTTTGAAAGTAACTTTGCTGTTTTCTTAAACTAATACGGACGAAGGTGTCCACCCCTTTGGAATGGCGGTCGTTTGGCCTCTTTTGTTATGACCCCCATTTCAAAGGGGTGGACCCCTTCGTCCGTATTAGTTTGCTTGTTTTGGAAACAAAAACAAGGCTTTGTTGGGCTACTGTTAAAGAAAAAACATAAAACTGTATAAAGCCTCAAACTCAACACTATTCCTGACATTTTGAATTGAAAAAGCTTCCTGGATGGGAAGCGAAACATTCTCAAAGAAAGTCCAGTGAATTAAAAAAATATATATATATAAGTCTTAAAGGTAACTAGATATAAATCGTGGCAGAGGCATCATTCTAGAATAAAACCTAAATCTGAAGGATGTGTGAAGAGTGAGAATTTGCTAATACAACTGGAGGTACCTGTTCTTTTTAGGAATGTGCTAAAAAGTCTGTTATGTTTACTAATTATTGCATAGAGCATTTGGTAAAGGAAAATTTAAAGGAAATGCAATCCAGGAAGGGATGTTCTTTATCGAAAAACAATTTAAAGATTAACTTGGCTGTTTGCTCACATTCTATTTTTTTTTTTTCAAATTGTATTATTTCAAACTTTTTTTTTTCCTAAAAAAAATGTTGATATTTAACTTTTTTTCAGAACTCTCCTTTTCTGATATGATTATAGAAATTGAATTTTTTTCTTAAAATGTGTTTTCTATATCAGATTCTCTTTACTTGTGGGGGTGGGGTTTCTATTGGTCTATATGGACGTTAGCGACTGCATTTAAATTAGTTAATGTGTGCATCAAAAACAAGTGTTTTTATTGGGCTCAAAGTGAAGAGAATGGGATATATAAAAAATACAATTGGAAAAGAATGGAATTTATTAAATTTAATCTAAAGAAGAAAAACTTGTTAAAAAAAAATTTATTTAAAAATTTTAAACCTGTAAAAATGTACGCTGACTACCTTTTATTATTAAGATGAAGTACACATTTTTTTCAGTTTCATTTCCTAAAAAAATTTTGGAACAAAATTCACTCCATACTACGGTTAGCTGGTGCTTCATCTGCATAGAAAAAAAAAAAACTTCCTCTGTGATAATTTCTGCCCAAAGCTTCGCTGTGTTTCGGTTCCCAGAGAGGATTCACATCTGGTTGAAAGCTTCTCATAACAGTCGAGTCCAGCTGCTTTTTAATTTGCCTTGCAGAAATGTCTGTTCCTCTCCACATTGCAAACCTGGGTTGTTTTGTTCACTTTTTATCAATGTTCTAAAGTCCAGACAATACATGGAGATGCAAACTTTGTAAATTTGCTTTAACAAGGTAGAGTTCAGCAACTGTCTTCTGTGCCTCTTTTAAAACAGCCTCCAAATGCTTTCCAGATTGACTGGAAAGAAGGCGTGCTCCTCTGACATCATTCCAGAGCTATTCATAGGCTAGTTTGGTTATTTTATTACTCGTTTTTAAGCTTATTTGCGCATTTTGAAGGCTGAATCCTTTGTGTCTATAATGTAAGACTGCATAAATATGAAAAGAAAAGACAGTACGGAAGGAAGTTTTTTTTTGACTGATTTAATACCATATGAGTAACATTTACATGAAGGACACCACAGCAGAGGAAGAGGAGGAGGGAGGAGTTTACACTGCAGCTCTGGTGCAGCACCCTCATAGAGAATCGATTAGCACTGAGGGCCGACCGACCCCACAGCCTCATAAAGCGAATCAAGCGCTCCCGGTGCGAAAACTACATCAGTCTATAAACCAGCGCGACTTTAAAACCTGCTGGATAAAGTGCAGAGATGTTACAATGTGCCATGAAAACATCAGGGAGGGAGTCAGAGCTTAACTTTGAGTCTAACTTAGGTCAGCAGGTATACAGGTGGGTTAAATTAGTGCATGTAAGCAGAATGATACAGCCTATACAAGCTTCCAGGAGCTAAAATCCACTGGAACCGGAGCCAAAGATGCAGAGATCAGACAGCTGGAGTGACTCCGGGAAAAGTGGGATGATCTAAGAACAATAACAGAAAACAAAACACTGAATCTTACAGTATCTTTTACTTTAAGGTTTCCCTCTTCAGGCATGCTTTTATGGTACATTTAGAAACCTAATGTCAAACAAAAACCCAACATAATCACTGATTTAAAAAAATATATATATTTAAAAAGGAAAAATTTTACTGATTCTAAAGAATTCCTGCATTTAAAGTCTTATTTATGTTACCAGCAGCATATATTAGTATTTAAATACAGAGACGTGAGGAAAATTGTATAATAAATCATTTAGTAGTAGCGCGCTTCATGCAGGAGGCAGACATGATCAGCTTTTACAGGAGACGCTGGGAGTGCATTTCTAAAAAGCAAATTTCTTTTTTTTCCTAAGTGAAGGGAAACAGTAGTAGCCTCCTTTCAGTCAGCTGGCCAGCAGTGTGTATCAACAGGCGGGGGAGGGGTCATCTTATGACAAAAAGTTCACAATTTTAAGCTCAGTTGGACAGAAAATGTCGGGGATTAACGGTTTAACGCTACCTGAATGGGTTCTTATTATTACAATCAACACAGAAGCAAAACAAACGAAGGATCCTAAACAGACACTTTGTCAGAGTTGTGTCATCACTGCAAAATGATACCAATAACAATCCAGCAATAATAATAATTTGTCCTTTAAGGAAAAGAACATGTAGAAAACAACCATTTCATGTCAAATAGAAAAAGAGATCTAATACAAACAGATTGTAAACGGCTAAAAAACAAAATCAGATCAGCCACCAACACAGTCCAGCGTCTGTCCACTGCATGTCTGGATTTCCTATTATTATAAATGATTGTTGCGGATTGGAAAGGAAACAGCCAGCTCATATAGTCTGACTGTGATCAGGTGGTGCTGAGGATTGTTTTTCTTCAGGATGAGCTACATGTGTAGTGCTTAATGTTCCATACATACGCTGTCTGCAGTGCAATAAGTGCTTTCCTTAAGATTGAAATTCTGGATTCTTTTCATTATTATACTGGTTACTGAACAGAAGGCATCAGCTTCGGTTGTGTTTCCATCTTAACGCTCAGCTGCTCTGTAGTAACCAGGACCAGGGATGTTTTTCCACTCATGTTTGGATTTTATCTGGTTTAGAGAATTAACTGCTGTGGACAGTGTGAAGTGCTGCAGTAGTTTGAAAACAACTATCTGGTTAGATTTGTTCAAATCTAAACAATAAACTATAACCCCAGTAGATAAGAAAGAATCAGATGATATGGGATGGTTTTTTTTTAGGTGGGAGTGGATTTATGGCCTGCCTGGTTCACCACGAGTAGCAGACAGACCTTAGATTGTCATGGTAGTGGATCATCTCCAAATATAATGTACACGTTTCAGCATGTATGTAAAACACCATGGATTAACAGAGAAATAAAAGTCTCCTATGGAGGAAGATAAACAGATGCTGTCTTTATAAAGGCTGATACTTCAGCGCGGGGCTGTCAAAGATGGAGGGTTTAGGAGACGACGCAGCCTGTGTCCTTCTGGGGCTTCAGATCAGGCTCCTTCATCGGCTTAACCTCCTCCTCCTTGGGTTTGGCCTGTGGGATCAGAAAACAGGCTCATGACACCTTTAATTCAATATCAATTAAAAACACTGGAAAAAAGATCTAGAAATAAGTAAAAATGTCTTAAATTAAGTACATTTACTCTTAATTTGAGTAGATAAATGAGATAATTTGACAATGGAATGAGTATTTTTACTCTTAAAATAAGATAATTAGATAATATGCACTTAAAATAAGACAATGCAATTGTGTTTTCTTATTTTAAGTGTAAATTGTCTCCATCCATTGGCAAAATGTCTCTTTTATCTCCTTAATCCAAGATAATCCAAGATAAAATGCATTTTTTTCCATTGAACAGATTTCTGATCATCTTGAGATGATCAAAAACAAGCTGTTGGTCAATAAGGGCATGTTTTTTCTGTGATGTAATCCCAAAGCGACGGCGCACCTTGTCATTCTTGGCTCCCTTGGTCAGGTCGAAGGTGGCGTAGACCTCAGCAGTGCACTGCTCGCTGAGAGGCGGCAGCTCAAAGGGGACCGGCTCGGCCAGGCCGTAGCTGGCCTTCAGCTCCAGCTGGGGAGGCTCTGCGGGGATTTTATGGAAGTATCTGCAAACATCCAGAGGAGCAGTCCAAATAAACAAGGAGCAGGAGAACCTTGGATTGTAGACGCTCAATTCGCTCATGTTTTCTAAATTTTTTTCTTTCATTTTAAAGAATTTTTGAAGATATTTGCAGAGTTTTAAAGACTTAATGAACAAACAGAATATGTGAAGCTCAAAGCTAATTGTTTATATGAATGAATTTAGCCCCAAAAATTATGTAAAGTTATAATTTTTCAATAGTACATTTATTATCTTTAATTCCTTTTTTTTGTAATTTTTGCAACAAAAAAAAAAAAAAAGATCCTGTTTAAGCAGATTTTATGTCAGAACAGTGAGGATTGAGTCTCTTTAATGAGATTATGGTCAAACCTGGTATTATCTGTACATAAACACTGATAGAAGAAAGGCTGGATTACAGCAATAATGAAGCAATCAGCAATTATAATTGATACTGTCTAGTTTGGAAAAGTTTGTTCTAGAACTGAATGCTCTTCTTTTGCTCATCTCAGTTTTTCCAAAAGAGAAAGAAACAGAGAAAGTGTCTGAGTCAGCATTAATAGGTGTGTGTAGAGTGTCTCACATGAAGCCGTTCTCTCTCTGGCACTTCTCCAGCGTGCTTTTAATGAGGGCGCCCAGCTTGAGGAAGAACAGCTGCTCCGACGGCTTGGCCGTGGTGCCGGGGCCTTTGGTCTGACGGTACTCTTTACAGAGCGCCTCCGCGCGGGAGTAGCCTAAAACACGGGCGGTTCTGAGTCAATAACAAGCAAACGGAGGGAGGAGGAGGCTGCAGCTCATGTTGGGATGCATTTTTCTATAGATACACAGCTGCAGAAAACAGGAAGCTAACTCACAGGAAACACCTGCGGCGAGACGTACAGTCGTTAGTTCTGCCTCAGAAATGATAAGCGAAGGAAATGCAGCAACACATGGCTGACTGGCATTATAGAGTGAAGCCTGTCTAAGGCTAAAAACTGACGTACATTTAGAGAATATAAACTATGACAACTTCTTTGATGAGATCCCTGCACATTTAACCAAATGAAACAAATATAACTTCCTGTGTTCATACATTTTTCGGCCTCCTGTAGGGATCTTATAGCCTCTCCACATTTGTCGCTGGCCAGCAGAGTCTGGCCGTGGTAGCAGAACGCCTGCAATCCAAAAACAAAGGGGGAGAGACTTGAGGTTTAAAGCTGACGTTTTGTCATTTTATCCAAACTAAGCGAAGCTGCAAATGTGTGTCAGCTTACATAAGCCATGTAAAAGTACTGCTTCAGCTGCAGGTACTTCCTCCACTTGCTGCTGTACTCTGGCTCCAGGGTGTTCAGTGTGTGGTCTGCAGATACATGGATAAAAAAACTTAAATAAACAGGTTCTGTATGTAGATTTACCACCAAACCACCATGATGTGAAAAGATCGAGAAGATTTAGCTGCGGTTTTTAGCGGAGCTCATCTGTTTCTTCTTTGCACAACCGTTCAATCTTAGTCGATTCTTCTGTAAACAGTTGTGTTTTTTCCAAATTGCTATAGATTCATAACCAGATTCATGCTGGACTTTGACTAGACCACTCTACACACAAATTGCATCACACAGAGCAGCAACAGGCTGCTCTGTGTGATGCTCCATTAACTCTGAACCACTTTCCTGAAGATAAGGCCTTCCCGCAACCTGATGCTGCCGCCACCATTCGTTACCATAGCAATGCTTTTTCAGGTTTTTCTGCCCTCGTCCAAACAGATCATCACATCATTTTAATGTCTTCTTAAAGTAAACCGAACCTTTGGTAGCTTTATCACGCGTTCAGGAGATTCTCCCACCTGAGCTGTGAATCCTTGCAGCTCCTCCAGAGCTAATAAAGGTCTCTGGGCTGCTTCTCTGGTTACATCTGTCCTTGTCTAGCATGTTCCTGTAGATCTGCCAGTGTTTATAAGATGAATCAAAACATTTTGGACACTATGACTCTACGCCAATCTCACACATTTAGACTATTTACTGTAATTTGCTGGACTGGATTTTATCTAGTAGATATTAGTCACTAAAATAAATTATGAACTTTTAACTACGCCCACCTTTGTGTTGCTTCATTCCAAGAAGTAACATTAAAGCACACTGAGGTTTGTGGTTAGGCTGACAAAATGAAAAAGCATACATTCTGCAGAGCACTGCCTCTCAGGTCCTGATGCACTAAACTACCCTGTTAGAGTCCGTTTGTGCTGAAATAAAAACACTGACCTGCTTTCTGATAGAAGTTGGCCGTTTCAAAAGACAAAGCTGCAATCAGTGAGGCGTTGTGCTTCAGCTCGATGGCTCTGGCAATCGTCACTGGAAAGGTGAAACAGAACAGCAGCTGTTCAGAGTTTGGATTCAAATAAAGCAGCAGAGAAAAAGTGGAACTAAACAAGAAAGGAACAATGAAAGAAACTTGATAAGACATTTTATCTGTCCTTAAAGAAATGATGTTTTACAGTTTGATTTCCTTAAGAATCAGTTTAAAAAGTTAAAGTCCAAACAAGGTTTATACAGGAATGAGTAACTCTTATTTAATGCTTTTTAATGCTCTTAGAAGTAATTTTTAAAGCCATCAAAATATATTAATGACTATCATATATAACACAGCAAAATCCTTCGTCATCTTTACCGTCAACAGGCTGCAGCCATGTCCCCAATTTCCTTGTTTTCCATTTTAAATGTCATGATAATCACATTTAATGCAGTTTAACGCATATTAAGGCATTAATTTAAAAAAAATAATAATAATATAATGACCTTAATGATTGTTAATGACCTGCGGAAGCACAGTGGCAGATAGAAATCTATCTGCCAATGTGAAGCCTGTACGGAACATCCATTTGTTATTTAATCTGATGGTACCTTCTTGTGCCTCAGCTTGGCACTGGATGATATACGCATCAATGACTCTGGGCTCCAAGTCTCTGCCCTTTTCAGCGGGGGTGATGAGGCGAGGAATGTGGACCTCCTGTGGAAAAGATACCAAAATATGAAAAAAGAAAAGTGTTCAGGTCGTTCATCCGTTTGCTGTTTTCTAAACTAATATGTAGAAAAATGACAGCCAATGAGGATGTTTCTTAAAGATCTAACATCCAGCTGTGCCTCTGCTTCACCTTGAGAGTTTTGAATATTCCAGCAGCGACCTTCAGGCTCTTGTGAACATCCTTGGCTTCAGGCTCTGTTATGCTGTTAGGGAGGCAAAACAATCCTGTCAGTGTGAGTATTGTTTTCCCTTTCTGGGTCGTCTGGTAGCGGGTGGCCGGGTAAGGGAACCAACTGGCAACTCAAACAGTTAGCAAAGACAAAACCCTGACAGCTGTTCTGTACTAATCCAAAGATGGACTCACTGGCCGCTTTATTAGCTACGCATATCCAGCTGGCTTTGAGTGGAAACACTGAATCAGCATCAACTTTGTTCTTTTTGGCGGGGTGAGGGTGAGTTTAGGCTTAATCCGAGCCTCAAAATAAGGCTGATAAAGTGACCTGAGAACACGATCTCTGCAGACACAACACAGAAATAGATGAAGGACACGACGGATTCCACTGCTTTGATGCACTCATCTTCACAAGTGGACAATACAGCAGGTCCATCACTACCAACAGAGCATCTAACCTAACCTTCAAAGTCATAAATAAAAAAAAGATTTATTGTGAAATAACCGTTTGTGCTGCATTTGAAGAGGTAAGTAAAAGCAGCTCAAAAAAGGGACTATTTAGAAGATAAATATATTTCCTGTACTTGAAATAAGATAAAGACTGTTTTTATTCTTATCTTAAGCAGATCACTTTATTCATGTGCTCAAATGAAGGGAAAATGACACATTTCAAGAACATTCTACTTCCTTTAAGTTTGCTCTTTGCAGTGTATCTTAGTGCCGTTGCGAAACAAATTGTGCTCATTTGATTCCAGCAGATTAACGCTCCGTGACACAAAGCTCAAATCCTCCTCAGCTGGTTTCTAGATTTGACTGTTCCATAAATGTCTTTTAGAAGATGACTGCGGATGTTCTGGATAAGTGGTAGCCCAACACAGTGCTACACTGTAAAAACTGAAATATATGTCAAATGTTGTTAAATTAGTGTATTATCCCTTAATATGAGCAGGTAAGACAATTTGGTGATGGAATAATTTACTCACCTTAAGAAATGGAAATGTCATGAAATTTCATTTTGTTTACACTCTGTGTATACAAAATTACAAAGTTTGTCTAAGTCTAAAATAAGATGATTTAAGATTATATGAGAAATATATCTCCTTTAAAAGCATAATATTCAATTATTTTACGTCAGGTAAACACATACTCATTTAATTTGTAGATCAACCTATTTACCTGCTCAAATTAAGGCCAAATACACTAATTTTAGGAATTTTTCTACTTATTTTTGGATCCGTTTTTGCAGCGCTAGATGTGCTGAATAAAGAGGTCCGTCTGTTGGATTCAAATATGGATTTTATTTTCAGAGCTTTACGTTATTTTACTGTAACTTTGGCCATTTGATCTAAATCTGAATAAAACATCTAGAAAGACGTGTGAATTTGTGAAAAAGGGTCACATTTTGTTTTTAAATGAAGGGATGTTTGAACTGATATGGGAACAAGAAGACTCACTTTTCCTTCCCGGTGAGTCTTGAGGCGAACTTGGTGTACCAGATGGCTACGTTGAAGGCCATAGAGGCCAGTTCAAAGACAGCGTCCTGCTGGGCACTGAGAGCCGACCAAAGACAGGAGAGGAGTTAAGAAGAATCTACAGTCAGAGCTTTTACTCTCAGACTGTTTCATACCTTGCCATGTTTCCTTGTAAGGTGTCGGTCCACTTGAAGTTCTGGATGAACCTCATCTTGTTCTCCTGTGTGGTTCCATCCAGGGACGTGATGAAGCCTGATAGGTAATGGGACATAAGCCAGAAAATTAAAACATTGATGTACTTTGGTGATTGCAGGTCAACAAATGAATGATACTCAAACTTTTTCTCCATTTACACCATTGCGGTTTGGTTGCTTGGTAACCGACTCTACATCAGCTTTTTACACATTGGAGTAAATCATTTGTTTTAATGCAATGTAAGAAAACATGGTTAAAGTCTCAAATAAAGATGAGCTATAAGCAGGTTTCTTTTCTTCCTCTGTTTTCATTACGGGTATAAATGTGGACTAAACCTCCCTGGGATCAGAACTACATGATTAAAATGAGATTTTTACCTAAATTAAGTTAAAACGGATTTTACTTTTTGACATTCCCCCAGAAAAATGATGAAAAACTAAACTACAATTATGTTGGTGAAAAGTCATTCAGATCATAGTCATTTTTAAAAAGTACAAAAAAACAATCCACTGGAATTCGTTACAAAGTTTGAAGATGTTTCGCTTCCCATCCAGGAAGCTTTTTAATTCAGAATGTCAGAAATAGCGTTGAGTTTGAGGTTTTATACAGTAGCCCAACAAAGCCTTGTTTTTGTTTTGAAAACATGCTAATTGGAACAGACAATGGGGTCCAATCATTTGTAATGGGGGTTGTTTGGATTCTTTTGTGCTTGCAATGCCCCATACCAGTCTAGTGTCTAAAAAGGGGGGTCGTTAAAGGGGATTGTTGGCCTGGCTGAATAGGCGAGGTCCTCTGTTCTCCTGTAAAGGGGCTGCAATAATAAAAGGGAAGGAATCTGAGTCCACCCCGTCTGTTTAAGGTTGGTGTTTCTTTCTTAACATAGATGGCTTCCTTCACGCCCCTCTCAAACCACCTGTCTTCTTTCTCCAAAATGTGAATATTCTGGTCCTCAAAAGAATGTCCAAAACAAAACAAGGCTTTGTTGAGCTACTGTATAAAACCTGGAACTCAACACTTTCTTGAGATTTTAAATTGAAAAACCTTCCTGGATGGGAAACAAAATGTCTTCAAACTTTGTAACAAAGTCTAGTGGATGTTTTTAACTCTTTTTGGAATAAATACAAGTAAAAAAAAAACCAATGTTAAAGAACTGCACGTTTAAAGAAAACTTGACATTAGTGGACTCGCCTTGCAGCAGAGAGAAGTATGCATCCGAGGCGTTCTTCATGGTCTCTGGGGTGCAGGTGGAATCGGTGAACATCTCCAGCAGCCTCGCTCTGGTAGTCCTCAGGTCACTAAACAGGCCACACAGACAGACATCAGGTTAGACTCTTCTGCCTGATGCAAAAACAGCAGGAGATCACCAAGACTCACAGATTGATCATTCATTGCTAAAAGAGTCTCCTGTTTGTTTCATCCATGCAGTTCTACAGCATTAGTCATGCTGTACATGCTGTACATGCTGCACCCAGATCCACGATGGGAAGATAACTAGAACTAAAAATAGCAGCTGGACTGCATGACAACATTACTACGTTTAAAAAAATAAAAATGTATATTTGATCTACTAACTTGTATTTAAAACAGCCATTACTGGATACTTTTCAAGAACTAGAAGATTTTTAAAAACCCAAAGCTATGTAACAATGACATAGCCTCTGTCCCTCCCTGTTCAGGAGCTAGTAACTAGTAACTAGTTACTTTTATTGTGGAGTATCTCAGTTAGTAACTCAATTAAATTTAACTAAATGCAAACCTACTTGGCAAAAAATCTGATTCTAAACATGGTAGCCGACTTCTAGCCAACCAAACTGCTAGTGCTCAGCAACAGGTGGAGGAAGGGCCCGTATTTTATTTATTCTATGCTCCCCAGTCTCCAGATGGAGAAAACTCCAGTTGCTAATCCTTATTCTGATATAACTTTAAAGGGGTTTAAAGTATAAGAATAGTCATTTTAGCACTTTGCAGGGATTTTACCTTTTTATAAATATGAAATATCATCAATCAGCTCACACCTGGGCTGCAACAACACTTGTTTTCATCTGATTATTTGCCTGTTGAATGATGATATAATTATTGCTTTCACCTACATTTCCTCTTAAGTTACCGGATGCAGCCTGATTGAGTTTTTGTGTATATTTAAATGCCCTTTAGGTAAAAGCAAATTAAATAAATCAAATCTCAACAGTGACAGATTGCCTCAAGAGTTGACTATAGGGACATTGAGTAGGTCTTCCTTATTTTAGGGATTGCTTATGTGAATATAGGAGTTTATCCATAGAGGTGAGTCTGATGAACAGAATCAGATGAACATCTGATGAGGTCGGTGCAACGAAAAACCAGCAGAAGCTACAGACTGAAACCAAGCTGTGCTTCATTTGACTTTACTGTAAGCTATATTAGTTTCATACTTTGAGCTGCACCTGCTGGGAGCCTTTATGTCGTTCCTGAAATGAGCCGTGTCTGCTTACAGGATTGGTACAGTTTAAGCCTGGAGGTATAGATCTGATCTGAACCCTCCCACATGCGCTCTAAATGGCTAAACTGCCTGCCATGATGTAGCTCAGCCCCATTGTGTCCACAGTGTTCAGACTGATAAACAGGTGTGATCACTGAGCTTGTCTGCGTTTCAACATCTTATCGCTCATCTCACAACCTGACACCATGTGCAACATTTTGATTTATATTATCTGCTGTTAAAAATCAATGCATCCATAAACTTTAACATTATGGCAGCCTGCCTAATAAAGGAGGCAGCAAAGCAGCCTCTCATGATCCTGTTGGCGAGTTTCTGACACTGAGGATAGTTTAAAAATGGTGCTTTGGATACAATTGATAGGAATTTATGATAAAGACAAAGTTTTAGCATTACTATGCGCTGTAACATATGTCCAATGTGGGGATCTACTGCGGTAAGAGTTCACCTAACACAGGGGTCAGCAACCCACAGCTCAAGAGCTGCATGAAGCTCTTTAGCCTCCCCCTTACAGCTCCCTGGAGCTTTTTCAAAAATTTATGAAAATAGATTTTTTTGTTTTAATATGGTGTGCAGGAGGTCAAACTAAAATTAATTATGTTTTCCAATGCTGTAAAAATTTGTATGATAAATATATTTAAACAATAATTTGCAACCAGCGAGGCTCTGTGATAGGCAAATAAAGCGGCAAGTGTGTCTCGGACCATGGACTATTTCCAAAGGGAAAAAGGAAGATAGCTGATGAGAAAAGAGGATTAAAAAAATGGACCGAATCATTTGCTTTCATTATAAATGCGAAAGGATTGCCTGCATTTATTACTTTGTAATGAGAGGTTGTCAATAAAATAAAAGAAAAAGTTTGGAAAAGAATTTCCAGGAAAGGCTAAATATGCAGCCGACCACCAAGCTGGGAGTGAGAGAAAAAGTGTGATTGCAGAACTTCTGGATAAATTAGAGGAGAGCAAAGAGAGATTTAATAGATGGATTGCATCTCCAAACTCCACTACCGCTGCTGGTTTGACTGCAAGGAGGGAAAACCATCCACAGATCAAACAGGTAGCGCTCTGATGCAGCTACTTTCTTCCATTTTTCCCCCAAATCCTAAAAATCTAAATCACACCAAGGAACGCTGGTGATGAAGGATGCAGGGATAGAGACCTCTGCTCTGATGAATGTCAGTTCCTGATGGATCCTCATGACTCAATCAACTCCTCCCAACAGAAACACGTCCACCTTATCCTGTTTCTATAATTTCATCAATGCAACAAAACATAAATCATGCAATGGGAGCGTTCACTGCTCCTCCCTCACCTAATGCTGCTATGTGACATTTGCTCCAGGATAAGCATTTAATCATGAATGCTTATTCTATATTTATGCCCACATAGTCCTTTTCTATAGAGTCAGTGTTGACATACGACGCATATATAAGACTTTTACATTTTTGCGGCTCCAGACAGATTTATTTTTTGTTTTTTTTTTGGTCCAATATGGCTCTTTGAGCAGGATGAATATACTGACACCAGGCAAAACGCAAACTCATGGAAATCTGAACAGACAAGCAGACAATTGTTGCCTCCTAAACAGTCTTTTGCAATTTTAATACTGTGGAGACGACACACCCACAGCAAAACATCCCTGTGATCCATTTAAACACTTACAATGTTCACGGTGCTACTGCATGGGGGTCGCAAAAGTTTTTTTTATATTCCCCCCCTGCAATTTTTTCCACTAATTAAAATGTCTTTAAATCCACATTAACATGAATTCAACACACTGTAGTAAACAGATAAATGGAGGCAGAAGATGTCTTTCAGTCATCAATGCTCACATTCAGTGACACACAGGAGCTCTTTCAAGCTGGGCACCGTTTCATTCAAAACACCTGTCCCATCAACCAGGAAAGAAATTACTTTTGTTACATGACTCCATCTGTAATAGAGTGACTATAGGACCAGTTTGATATAACACTATTTCATATAATAATTAGGGGGTCCCCGCTCCGTCTCGTCATCAGTTTGGGGGTCCTTAGCCTGGAAAACATTGAAGGTGATCTAAGGTGCACACTGAATGTTTAAAGGATGCAGACACCCTATATCCTATATCAAAATCTCTCAGGAAAGCCAATATTAGCCAGATGATCATGTTTGGAGACAGCAGTGCTCTGCATCGAGTGTTGATCATCATACTTGCAGATCTTGTTGGCCGCTGGGCTTCCTGCCACACCGTAGAAGTTAAAGGACACCGGCGCCGTTGCCTTCAGAGGGTTTCTGTGAAACCAGTGGGCCATTCTGGGGACAGGATCACACCTACAGAGGGAAGGCTGCAACACAGGGACAGCTGGTTAATCACACAGACACCTTAACGATGTAGCTTCGCCGACTAGCTGGTGGGTGTTTCAAAAAAGAGATTTTTTTTCCTTAAAGGCGGAACGTTTGTTTGGGAGTGTGAAGGATTCCTACGTCACATTTACGGAGCGCCGCGGGTTACATACCGAGTTAGCTTTCTAATAACAGCTACTAATCATCTACAAACATACTTTAGGTCCGTAAAAGACACATTAGATTATCTCAGGGACGGATTGTGTCTGATCCTGAGGTTTCCCCGATCATTTAAAGACCAAATTCAATGACGTCAGCCACAGAGCTCATCCTAAGCTAACTGCTAACAATGGCTAAATCTACAACCACAACAGGACTAGTTTAATACGGTGAATATGGATTATTCAGACGCTTTTATAAGTATTGCTGAATTAGTTTAAATGTATTTAAACTTTCGCAGGTTACCTGTCAATGCGCCGCCACAGATTAACGCTTTGGTTGTCTGGAAAGTCTGTCACTGACAACTCACTCACTTCCGGAAATAAACACCGAGCGGAGGCTGACCAATGGGAAGCGAGGATTTTATCACGTGACGTACTGGGAGAAGAACGTATTGTAAGGAGATTTAATCTATTTATGGGGGTTCATACGAGCTTTACACTTGTCAAACACAATACATTTGTTTGTTTTTCGTTTTTTTGTGTCATTAATGGTTTGTTATACTTCTGTCACCTGAACATAAAATGTATTTAAAGATAGCTTCCTATCATCTTCTACTTGTATTAAAAGATTAGATTAAAAACTGACAGTAAATTATTAACTGATTGAAAAAAGTGTAATCTATAAACAAAAGTCTAACTCTTTACATGTCTGAACTACATGATCCTTCAATAATCTCACAAATGCTGCATGTTTGTTATTTTATTTTAGCTTGTTACTGGCAGAAGTTACAGTTAAATCATCTTTGTAAATCATTTATTACTAGTTTTAAGGAACTGCTAATGCCATGCTTATCTCAGTGCAGTAAACATTGTATACACTTACATACACCTACTGCTAATCATTTGGTTTTACTTTTATGTCAAACATCCTCAACACTGAGATATTAAAACTCATTGTTTTACCTTTTTTTTTCATTATTGCTTGATATTATGTCAAAATTCCCAACTGCATGCATGGAATCAGGTTATTGATGAAGTTTCCATGTTTCATCCCAACAAACATACAAAACAACACTATTCGATCACAATCAATGATCTACAATCATTAATTTCTTTAACTCAAGAAATATTATTGTTTATCTTTTTTCTACCTATTTAATTCCTGTAATCCTGTAATATGTTCATGGTTTTTAACTGGTTTGATAATAAATATACCATGTAATACCAGTTTAACAATCTTTTTTATTTCAGTTGTTGATGAAACAGTGAAACAGTTTAGCAAGTATTTTCCCCATCTGGCAAACGGAAAATAACAAACAGTTACTTCAAGTGATAATCAGAACAATTCAAGACAAAGAACCAAAAAAAAAATAAAATTATTGATTTCTTTCTCAAATATAAAGGAATCGTTGAAGAGTGTACACAGAAATGTTCGCCAGGCAGCAGACTTTTTTTACAAACATTATTTGTACACTGGATTGTCATTGCTTTTTTTTTTTCTTAAGATGTTATCAGTTTTCTTTGTCAGCAGAAATACAAGCCAATAATCATTTAGCAATAAAATTTACAACAAATGTTTAAAAATCTATGCAAGGCACCTTGAGGCACACCAAAATCAGGTTTAATCAGGCATTAAGAAAGAAACCCCAAATCATTTTAAGTAGAGCTGAAGTTTTGATTTGATTAATAAAGCCGCAAAAAACAGAAAATATCCCAACATAAAAAAATGGGCCCCAAAATTGAGATTAGGATGTAAGTACTAATTTATCTAATATCAGTGCATTGAAAGGCTTTTCAGAATAAGGCATTTTTGGTCAGATTTAAGGCATACAACAACAAAAAAAAATAAAAAGTACGTACAATAACTAAACTGAAGGGAATTTGTAGTTTTCTTACATAAAATCTCCATATTTTTCATCTTATTCTCGAATCGACACAGTGTAAAAAAAAAAAAAAGACAAAAAAACCCCCCATAAATTTAAACATAAAAGGTGCAAATATAGGAAAGCAGCATCACAGGGGATCCTGATGTTTGCAGAACCAAAACATTGGTTCCAAAAGGTCACTTTTTTGGCCTTAAGTAAATAAAAGCTGTTTTTTTTTTCTAAAGTTTCTGTGATCAATACAGAGGGAGGAAGAAAAACACCCTAATGGTCCAGCATAGAAATAAATTTCACATTATCTGATGCACATTTCATTTAATGAACAAATTAAGGAACTGAAACAAGACCAAAATATTTAAAGAAGGTGGATACATATATATATCTATTTTTTTTACGTTTGCCATTATGCTTTCGTACCATCACCACATGGAAACATCTTTCAGAAAATCTTTGAGCAACTTCCAGAAAACAACAATAAACAAGCAGGATTTTCTCTTGCATCTCTAGAATTAACAGCATAGAAAGGGCTGTCAGGATTCGACATCAAATGCTGCTCTCATGTCGAATCCCATCTAATGCTTTGGCTTGGTAGAAACAGACGGAAAAGCAAAGGAGGAGTCTGCAGTCACAATGTAAAGGCTTTGGCACTGAATAAAAAAGTTAAAAGTTCACATATAAATCATCATGCAAACATCCACTTTTTCCCAAAACTATTTGGTTACGACCTTGTCGGCCAAGAGAAATAAACCCACCAAAAAAAAAAAAAAAAAAAAAATCATGCAAGGCCAGGATTGTCCCTTGAAAAATACTCCTGGAAGATTCTTAAAGATGGCACATTTGTAAACCATCATGAAAGGTCGGAGCTCACAGGCGTTTGGAATAGTTATTGCATAGAACGTGGTCTCGAACATCTCCCCATCCTCCGTTCTTCATGTGGGCCTTGTGCTCCACTGGCTCCTGCCTACTGAGGACCAGACGTGGAGGAAAGAGGCTGTCCTTTGCCGTCTGAAGGCCCGCCTCTACTTTTTGTAAGGCCATTTCTGGTCTGCAGTTGTCCTTCTGGTGTAGACCGCAGTCCCCCGTGTGCAGAACCCTGGAGGCCTGCGCCGACACCACTTTCAGGGGATTAGAGATGCATGCTCCAGAGAGGTGCTGGAGGGTCCAGTCCCAGTTGTAATCATCGTAGGTGCAGAATTCGTTGCTGCACCCCATCAGCTTGTAGTACACCTCTCTAGAGATGGCCATGCCTATGTTGTGTTTGGTGGACAGCCATCCAGAGGTCAACACCTTATCGGACATGCTGCTAAAATCTGTCACGCCGTTGTGGTTTCCCAAAGCAAACAGGTCGCAGTCTTGGCAGCTGGTCTTCCTAAACTCCATCATTAATTTGTAGAAGTGGAAAAAGTCTGGTAAAATGTAGTTGTCCTCCTCGAGGAAGACGGCGAAGCCGCTGTAGCCCTGCATGGCGTGCACTCGCTCCCAGACGAAGTGCAGCTTCCACCACCAGTGGTGCTTGGTCTGAGTGATGAAGGCCTCCCTGTAGTGTCCGTACGAGTCGGGGTGGTCCGCGTTGAGGCATCCTGTTTTACGAGCCTCTTCCTTGGATATGTCTCGGGGGCAGTCTCGTGGGTCCTGCCCAGGAAACTCATTGGGATACAGCTGAGTGCTGAAGGGGAAATAAATCTGCAGTACCTTGCAGAAAGTTATCCCTCGCACAATTGTGTTGATTTCCTGTGAGACATAGTCGTGGCTGAAGATAAGCAGAAAACTGTGCACCTCAGCAGCCCTCTCCAGTGACCTGATGAGAAGCCGGAGGTATTCAGGCCTGTTGTGAACCTGCACAACCAGAACCAGGCGGGGCTCCCCAGGAAACCTGTCTGCATTGTGGACACACTGTTTGTAATTGGCACTGTAAATGGACTGAGTCAATTCAGTCAGAGACGCAAAGCTCAATATCTCACAAGAGTTTGTTCCCTGATTTCCATTGCTGGAGACCACCCTGGAGCTGGCTGCTCCGGGGTCATTTTCAGACTCTATCAGCACACGTGTTGAAAACAAGAGAGTCACAAGAACAAAAATAACTCCCAGCAGCAGGAGCACATTCCGTCTGACCAGCCGGAGCCTCATCTTTCCCTTCTTTAAAGGTAAACTTTGGACTTTAGCAGATATGGCTTTGATTCACCTCCTCGCGCGCGCCTGCATCGTTAAAAGCCCGTCCTCGCGCGGCTCTTCTTCAAACAGAAACGCCGCGTGACGTTCCTCTGAAGACCCGAGCGGCAGCCGTGTTCTCACGGCTGCTTTAACCGACCGTCTCCCCGCTGGGAAGCAGGAACATTTTCCCAAACAGCCGCGGACTGGAAGAACCTGCGGAGGGAAAGGAAAGTTTAGTCCAACCAGACTCCATTAAAGTCTAAAGTTTGAAATGAGAACAAAAAAGGAGAGAGAAGAAGCAGACTTACCCGAGCTATGGGTGAAGTGTCAACACGTTCATACCAGGAAGAGAATGACAGAGCGGCGATACAAGTTATTGACTGCTGACGTGTACAATCCAGCCAACGAGGAGAGCGCGCGCTGCTCCTCAGCACCGCTTTGTCCTGCCCACAGTCATGTAACACGAGAAGGAAATGTAAACTAGGACGAGTGGGACATCTGAAAAATCTGCCTTACCTTTCATAATTGTATCTGCTTCAGGGGCGTAGCTAGATAGGGGGTCATGGCCACCCTTAGCCACCCCTGCCATTTATTTCCCTCTAATAAAGACAGCGGCAACAGTAATACTCTCAAATGGAATATTCAAAACATTTAAATTTTTCTATATTAATAATTACTTGACGACAAAAACACTGTTGTTAATTATGCACATCATTATACTAACATTAAACATGATAAGTACAGAATTCAATTAGAAATAGATTTTGTGTTTTATGGGTTAAAGAGAAAATAATGTGTCTGCAAAATATTTAGGAGTCTTCAGTGAAATCATACATAAATATCTACTTTAATAAAAACTTATTAAATATTAATTTTGTGTAGATATTAGTACTTGTAAATATCAATGTTATGCAGAATAATTACTGATAAAAGTAGGTAAGTAAGGACAATGGAGAAGATGTTCGACCAAAACTCCAACCTGAAAGAATTTTATCCACCATACTTTTTATCTAGAAAGCACGGATGTTTGAATATATTTGCTTATTTGTTAGCAAAGGCTGTGGGAAAGTATAGCTTTTCTATATTTAGAAAATATGGATGTTTTGCTTGTTCATTTCCTGTTGGAACAGTGTAGATTGACCGTGAGGTTCTGGTGCCTATCTACTTTCGGCCACCCCTCAGTGTACACTGGTTATTGGCCACTCTTAAAAAAAAATTCTAGCTACGCCTCTGTTCTGCTTTAGGCCTAAACATGATTCTATGCAAACTGGGAAAAGTTTGTTATAGTTCTACATGGGTAAAAAAAACAAAAAAATCAATGAATAATATTTGATTTATCAGAATTCATTATTACTTCTTGCATCTGCAGGTTTC